ACTGTTCATAATATTTTGCCAAAACTTCTTTCTGTTCATTTGGACAGATTATTTCCTTATTTTCATGCTGAATAATTGGAGTATTTAAATTTTCTTTGCCCATATTTCTATTTATAAGTTTGAAAAATGTTTTATTTGAAGGTTTTTGTTCAACTTGATAATAAAAAATTTCTTTTTCTATGGCTCTTTCTTTGCGGAGGATTTTCCTTGCATTATATTTTGCTTCCCTTTATTACCCAAATTCTGTGTTTTTGTTTGCTTAAATTTAGCAGCCTTTTTGCCTCTGGCGACACCTTAATTTTTGGCCCATTTAGCTTTATGATCCTAGATGGAATTGATTGTATCTCAGCTTTTTTTAAACAGTCAATAATAATGGCAACTATATCTGTTGTTGTCGAATTGTTGTGACTAGATATCTGTTGTTTTAATAATTACTTTAGCTTTGTTTTATATAGATTTGTGTTTCCACGGTCCCATTCTATTTTATATTTCACAGTAGACTGTTTCTTGAATTTGTTTTTTTCCATTTTTGTTCTGGCAGCTAGGGTACAGATTACTGGTACATGTGTTGATAGGTTTATGTCTGTCATATCCATAATTGTGATTTTATCAATTATGTCTGCGTTCTTGGCAAGAATATAGTCAATTTGGGATGTTGATCTACCGTTGTGATGGGAAAAAGTGTCTTTTTGAGAGTGGCATTTATTTATCCAATTTGTCATGCAGTTTATTTAGACGGGAAAAAATTGAAGACCAACAGATCACCAAAGAGAACAAAAATACAGAACAAACAGTGGATAAATGAGTTTTACTATTTGGCGTTGATTAGAAGAGATTCTGATGGGACTTCGCTCTGGTAATTTATGATGTTACATTATTCAGGATAAGACATTTGGAATTTTCTGTAATAAATTCTCTTCCACTTCGTACTTGGTTTGATTTTTCATTTTTTTTCATTTCAAGCTTCACTGATGAGTCTTTTGTTGACGAAACGAGCGTCCGGCAAACACAATTATCTGATATCTTAGTAAGTTTTTTTCAGTCGACGTTAATTAAAGACTGTGACGTCAATCGGATTCCGTTTTAAGGAAGTTCGCTACTCAGTTTCAAAATAACAAGCTTTTCATAACACTAGTATATATTGATAGGGGATTAGTAAAGGAACCAAATGAGCGGAAACAAAATATAGGTCCGTGTGCTCGTTTTCGAGATATAAGCCATTGAAATTTTGGCGGGAAAATGTTCTCTTTTTTTAGTAGCAACAAACAAAAGAGCTATGTCAATTGGACATGCTTTGATACTATATCTGCCCTTGAATTTTTACTTGATAACATTTTTGTTCGCTTTGGAGATTCCGTATATCGTCAAGTTATCGGAATTCCAATGGGGACTAACTGTGCACCACTTATTGCGGACCTGTTTTTGTATTGTTATGAGTTACAATTTATGACTAAAATCAGCAAAGACCCATCGAAACAACATCTGATACAAAAATTTAACAATACTTTTAGATACTTGGATGATATATTGGCTCTCAATAATGACGACTTCAGTATGTATACTAAAGAAATTTATCCTGTTGAAATTACTTTAAATAAAGCTAATACTAACAATGACCACTGTCCTTTCCTCGATCTTGATATATATATCATTAACGGGAAGCTTAATACAAAAATTTATGATAAAAGAGATGATTTTTCATTTCCTATCGATAATTATCCATTTTAAGATGGTGACGTTCCCTTGTCACCATCTTATGGTGTTTATATATCTCAACTTGTACGATTCGCTCGTGTATGTAACAACGTATTAGATTTGAGCGAGAGAAATTTATGTATTACTGAAAAATTATTACACCAGGGTTTTCGATATCATAAACTAGTCAAAACATTTACTAAATTTTATCATCGGTATAAGGACATCATTCGTAAATATAACTCAACATGCAGACATCTTATACGTTCGGGTATTTCACATCCAATCTTTTATGGTAATATTCTTTACAAAGCACAAAAATGTCAGTATTCACCTCAAAAGCTAATAAAACCTTTAAACAGACTTATTAAGAAGGTATATAGTTACGATACTGTTGTCAGGTCATTAAAGATTGCATATTTTGGCTTTAATATTGATTCACTTATAGGGTCTTTGCATCGGAATTAAACATATTTATTCTAAAACCAGTTGTTGGCATGACACGGGTTATGTTCTTCTCATGTATATTTTATGATGGTATAACACTAAACCCCTAACAGGAGGGATTGTGCCTGATATTCATATGATGAAGACATAATCTTTCAATCAGTTTAATTGAGGTCTGGAGCTGGCATGTCAGTAACTGCTAGTAGTCTGTTGTTATTTATGTATTATTGTCATTTTGTTTATTTTCTTTTGTTTCCTATTCTGATATCGGATTCGGACTTCTCTTAAACTGAGTTTTACTGTGCGTACTGTTGTACGTTTGTTTTTTCTACATTTGCTAGAGGTATAGGGGGAGGGTTGAGATCTCAAAAAACATGTTTAACCCCGCCTCATTTTTGCGCCTGTCCCAAGTCAGGAGCCTCTGGCCTTTGTTAGTCTTGTATCATTTTTAATTTTAGTTTCTTGTGTATAATTTGGAGTTTAGTATGACGTCCATTATCACTGAACTAGTATACATATTTGTTTAGGGGCCAGCTGAAGGACGCCTCCGGGAGCGGGAATTTCTCGCTGCATTGAAGACCCATTGGTGGCCTTCGGCTGTTGTCTGTTCTATGGTCGGGTTGTTGTCTCTTTGACACATTCCCCATTTCCATTCTCAATTTTATCTCTTGATTTTTCATAGCTTTATCATTGACGAGTATAAGTTCACAAAAACTATTAAAAAATAACAAAGATTTTATAAGACTATCACAGATGGCTTATAATTATACATGTAAAAGAGTTATAAAAAGAAAAATGGGGGTAAGTGGGCAAAATTTTTAAGGCATTCAAATGGATAAAACCAGAGGATTCCGAAAATCTGACAAAAATTCCAAAACATGCCAAGCGAACATCCTTAAGAAACGGACGTCGATTATAGTTCTGACGTCGATTTGAGTCGGGAATTTCCTAAATCTTTCAACAGCAATTGTATAAAGACGTGATAGACTCAGCGATTTAGTAAACATGGTTCGCTCTTTAGTCTGACGATTTTAAAATAATGACTATCCTCTTACCAAAACTACTGATTTTAATATTGATTTGAATCAGAGACATATAATACATTATTATATGTCTCTGTTTGAATTAAATTGAACGATGAGATTTCATAAAACATGAACTTACATTTGAATAAGATATTTTGAGGGTCAGACTCCAGCTACCTTTAGTTATTTTCTCGTAGTATCGAGCACATTTCTAACCTGCTTTCCAAACTATGTGCGTTTTTTTTCTTCCTTTGTTCAAGTTGGTTATCCTTTTGGTACGGAGTTGCAATGCGCGGATTTTTTATCGTGTGTTTTTGTATTAGGGTCTAATGGACAAAGGGGCAAGTTTGCACATGCGTAAAACTGTATGGTTCAAAACCCACCACTTTTTGTGTCTGTACCATGTCAGGCTATCTTGACAATGTACAGTATTGTTGTCTATCTTTGTTAGTGTGTCTGAGTTTATTTCTTCTGAATAGTCGGGTTGTTGGTGATAGATGTGGCTTGTTGTTCTGTGTGGTATTTTTTTGTCAAATCCTGTTTCCCCGCCTTTAGATGTTTTATAAAGGCACATGTTTTATCAATACCCGTTCATTTAGAAAATCTACCAGTTGAGAGTATGATTAATTAAAACAAAACTGAACTTATCGTATTCACACCGTAACATCTCAAGGCAAGAGTACCAAATCTTAAAATCGGCAATTAAGTGACAAGTAGCGTATCCTGCGTGAAAACCATAGTATCGTATTTTGATAAACATGTTATGATAGAACAGGAAGTATCTGTCATAGAAAAATCTTGTCATTTTCATATCTGTAAAATTGGACGCATTTGCATCTTTATAACAGCGGCTCATGTAAGACACTAGTGAACTGTCTAGTAACATCCAGACTTGATTACGGGGATATTCTGCTGTACGGTATCAACAAGACTACACTGAACAGATTACGAAAAGTGCATAGTACAGCAGCTCATCTTATCATCAAAATAGGGAAGCATGAACATATTTCGCCGATACTTGCCGATTTATATTAGTTACCCGTAAAATACAGACCGCGATACAAATTACTTGTTTATTTTACTGTGCTTTGAATGGCATCGGCCCTGCTTACATTCGAGAACTAGTCAACATACACGTGCCATACCGATCTTTCCGTTCAGGCTCTACACAACTACTTACAGTTCTATAAGTGCGGACGAAGTCGTACGACGAACGACAATTTGATTGGGCAGCGGCATTTTTTGGGAACAATCTCCCGAACAGTTTGAGACAATGCAAAGTCCCTATAGAGTGTTTTAAATCTCATCTTTAAACTCTTATATTATCGCATTGCTTCATAATAACATTTGATTAACACATCGCTTATTCAAACTGAGACATGAACTTACCGTGTACTCTTTTTGCTAAATTTTTCTTACGAGTTTTTACTTGTTTTTGTATTTACTTTTAAAGCGGCAACATTTTATATTCCTTTTTTAGGGGTTTTATTTGTTTCGCATGATTTCTAGATGACAAGAGTGTTCAAATCTATTATTTTTTTATAATCTGTATTTCTATATAGACCTTTTGATGGTAGACATTTTTGTTGTATCTTTTTTCAGTATTTGCATCTGTTATATTGTATGTTTTGTATTTTCCCACCTTAGATTTGTTATAATATCTCCTTAGAGTATTTTTATTATTTTTTTATATAGGACGCTTTATACATTTTCATTATTATTATATTATTATGACGATGAGAAGAATAAACCACTGAAGTTGGTCAAATTTCCGACAAGAAAAGACAACATAGTAGACTCATTTCTATGTTTGAACTAAACGATTAACCTGTTGACACAGTAATCAGTTATTTTGTAGGATGTGGAGAAATTTCTTCCTATCACTCCGACTTCCTCGACAAATAAAAACTGACCGATACACGAAATAGCCAATAGTGCTGAAAGTTGCATTTTTATTGCACTTATAACACATCAGACTCGTGGATTTTTAGCTTGTCATCTTTTTTCAATTTAATCTCGGTAATTAGCGTAGTGTTCGTTCAATTCAATGTAATATTTAAAATAGTCTTCCGGAAACTTGTTATAAAATTGTTTTTTAACATATAATCAAAATGGCAGCGTATGGTCGAGGTTCCTTTGGAGGAATAGGATTTACTCCCGATCAAACTGCTATTAACAAAGGTATAAAGTATAAAACTTGTGAATCTTTTTCAAATTCATTTTTGCTATTTGTGATAAAATAAGTCTTTTTTTTCTGACATTAATTATTATATGCAAACATTCTGTAATAGCATAGGCTTGCTAATGAGTAAATGTATGAATTAATAGTAAAGCTGTAATGAATTTGTTACACAATCGTTTGGAGGTGTTGTGATTGATTTTTTTTTAATATCGGAAAACGTTATATATGTTAAAATGTATCAGCTGAACATTTGAAACAAGCTTTATAAAATTTGAGTACTCTCTGGTCGGAATTTATTTCCTTATATGGTTTTTTCCTTTATTTTTCAAAAATAATACAATTAAGGAGAATTTGGTATAGGAGGTTGTCATCTTTTCATATTACTGTCACCTTAGCAAACACTTTGAATTTATTTGATTTTTTTTTTTCAAGATTTACCGAGATGATGCTTTTTAAACCTGCTTTCACCGAAAAGAAAGTATTTATTTCTGAAGTCGTCTTCGAGTAAAAGAAAGTTTTTGTAGAATGAAAATTGCAACATAATCAAGCTCTTCTTGTGAAAGTAATTTAAGAAAAAACATTTGGAGGAAAGTCAAAAGATATACCAAGGAGTAAAAATGCGTTTATATATTAACCAGTTTATATCATGTGATTCACTCACCAAAACATGTTGTTACCTGTCCTAAGTCAGGAATCTGATGTTCAGTAGTTGTCGTTTGTTGATGTGGTTCATAAGTGTTTCTCGTTTCTCGTTTTTTATATAGATTAGACCGTTCGTTTCCTGTTTAAATGGTTTTACACTAGTAATTTTTGGGGCCTTTTATAGCTTGCTGTTCGGTGTGAGACAAGGCTCCGTGTTGAAGACCGTACTTTGACCTATAATGGTTTACTTTTATAAATTTTGACTTGGATGGAGAGTTGTCTCCTTGGCACTCCTACCACATCTTATTTCTATATGTTAGATGAATTGTCCAAATTTCAGAATTATTTTTCAAGCATATCTGCCGAACAGTTAAAAACCGTTGCATTATTTTGTATTAAGCCTTTGAGCGTTTCGTATGAAGGTAAATCAAGAAATCTCTTCGGACGGACGCATGACATTTGTAAAGTGCTGTTTTCTTTTTTTCTTTCTAGTATTTATCAATGCCTATAGCGTATGCATTAATGTATGTCGGTATGTTTTGCGCGCATTTACGAAAACTGGGATCTTTAAAAAGAAAGAGCAAGTAATCTGACGAGGTTGTGTACATCTTTTAGCTCAAATACTTTTCTGTTACTTCACAGTTACCGAAGGAGAATCTGATTTTGACACATTATCAAAAGCAATTGCACATAGTATACAGAAAATTACACATAATGGTGAGTAAAGACAGCATAGTTAATTAGCTTATTGGTATAGAGATTGAGTTTGTGTTAAATGAATCATCAAAAACAAGGCAATTTCAGTGGTTGTCGTTGGTTCATGTCTGTCATATTTGATTTTCCTAAATTACTATGTTACAAATTAGGCCGTTAGTTTTCTCAATTGAAGTGTTTCATATTTTCCATGTCGGGGCCTATATGGTATTAGTTTTTCTCATTGTTGAAGGCCGTATAGATGCCTATAATTGCTTACAGCCACTTCATTTGAACTTTGGTGGATAGTTGTCTCATTGGCAATCATACCACATCTCCTTATTTTTAAATTAGTGGTAAACAATGAAACAAATTTATGCAACGCACGATATGAAAAACTAGTAGATTTTGGATAACAATAGAACCATAAGGTAATGCAATGAATTTAATTTCAAAATTACAAAAAATACCTCTAAACATTGTAACTAAAAAAATCAAATGTAGAGCAACACATTTGTGAAAGTAGTGTGTTAAAACAGGTTCCATGACTCTTAAACCTTTCATCCAGTTGTATGACAGGTTCCTGAAACTCGGAACATAAAATTAATTCATACAAGCTTCAAAATAAGAAGAATAGCCTGGCTCTGCTTCTAAGGCTTGAAGACACAACAAAAAAGAACCAACATGAGATAAGAATAAGAATAAGGATATGTATTATTCCAATTAAGGGCCCTTGATAAACATGTTCAATGAATGACTGTATGTAGGATAATAGCAAAATATACAACATATAGTCTTTGAAGTAAGACACTTAAGAAATTCTGACTCCCAAAAAGTATTCTTCTTCATTTACAATTTTTCTGTACAGTGTACAGAGCATGAGTATCATAGTTCTAGAAAACTTGAATAAGGCTTTTATGAACTTATATGAATAATAAAGATTCAAGTTGTTGATATTGCATTCAGTATCTCAGATCCAGAAGTTAATCAGTCGTATTGGAACCAAAAAGGATTCCCAGGAGACCAGAGACAAGGTGTAAGTATTCATAAATCTGATATGTTTATTTTATACATGCAGGAAAAGGAAGTATGTCAAAACATGTTATTAACATCGAGAAAGTTTGAAGCAGGAAATTAAAGTTATAGTACGGAAGGTAAACATTGGGTTTAATTCATTGACAACAATGAGGTTAAAAAGAATAACAGTGAAATAAATAAAGAATAATAGTTTAAATATTTAATAATTAATGAACAATAAGATTTTTAGATATTAAAAATGATATAAAAAGAAATATAACTAGGCTACTTAGTTGAGAATATTACTTCTAATTAAAGAAAAGAACACATTTATAAAGTAGGAAATGTCACTTCCTACAAAAATATGAATAAAGGGCTAATTTTACATAGTATACATAACATGTTAAAGAAAAAGAAAGTCACCCGGTGTTATAACTGTAGTTTGCCTTTTTATAAAATTACATTGAATGGCCTTTTGTCTTCCACCAAATGATTCTTGAATGACCACACTCATTATTCCGTTTCGGATTTTTGTATTCAACTCTAGTTGTATTTTGCTAACGTTGATGTGACTAACGCTTTTAGGCACCAGTTAACTCACTATACCAATCAGCTGGCAAAAGAAACTACCGCAAATCTGAAATTATTTACTGGGTTAAAGGTACCATCATCAGACGAGGTAAATAGTGTATTCAACTGTCGCTAGAAAAGTTCTCATGACACATTTTTAACAGTTTCTGACAAAAATGTTACCCCTTTGAACAGCTTTGTGCAGTTCTATCATAAAACAGATTCTGACAGTTCTACCTCAGTACGCGGAGAAGGACCGTTTTACGGTAGAGCAGTTTCTGACAGTACCAACCTAGAATAGGTTTGAACAGTTTATACCCTAGAACAATTTAAGATGGTCGATCTGTTCCAGGATCGAATAGTTTAGAATAGTTCTATGACATATTTTTCAGAAAGTTCTGAAGAGAGCTTAGAACTGATCTTAAATGAAGGGTAGTTACATTCATATGAAATGCATTCGTCTCTGTCTTTTATTTGTTGCATTCTTAATACCAGTTAAAAATAATACAAGATATAGGTTTGAAAGTTCACAGTTCAAAACATAAATAACATAGCAAAGATATGAAAATGAATATATAACGCGCGCGCATCTACGTTCATGTCGCAACAGGAAAAAAAAATTGTTTTAAATACATTTTTTAGGCTTCTGCAAGTTTTTATGAAACATACTGAATGTCGGTGAGCTCTGTTGTTATGCTGGTGTAACTCTTTCATGTATTTTAAAGTCTAACACAGATTGATTTGCATATAAGAAATAACCTCCTTTTTTCAGTTAAAACTGAAGATTCAGAGAGACAGGTATAAAGAAAAATTCAGTAATGCAGTTAAAAGCTTCCAAGCTGCGCAGAGAACTGCTGCACGTAAGGAAAGAGCCAGTGTAGCTAGAGCAAGAGCCCATTCGCCATCGTTTAAGGTCTTAATACAGGTTAGTACTCGTTTATTCTTTGAAATGTTTTACATTTTGACATATTGGTTTTTTAATAGCAGTAAGCTTACTAAACGGTATGAGTTTTTGGTCATTATTGAAGGCCGTACGGTGACCTATAGTTGCATACATCTACGTAATTTTGGTCTCTGGTGGACAATTGTCTCATTGGCAATCAAACCACATTTCCTTATTTTTTTTTTTTCATTAAAAGATCTTGAGTAGCGAACTAAATGTGATACCTAAATACAGATGTGTAGCGTACTGTGTGCTTTTTCTTACAAAAGGCAAGTTCATGATTTGAAAAACCTACACGTTTGTTGTAAAATTTTGTGATTCATATCCGATGGTGTCATTGATCAGGTATGACACTAAACCTTTTGTTGTAGTAGTGTTTTAAAATTCTTCGTTGTCGACACAGGCACTCTGCCATCTGTTGTAAAATGTTTCTTACAGTTATTCCTCTGTCGTACTTAGCATATGTTAACATACCTTCTACCTTTATTCTATAAAACTTCGAATTCCATAAAGGAAGAATAAACACATATAATTATAAATAACTACAACCTAGTAGACTTGTGACAAGGACATGGACATGTTGTGAGGTTAAATTAGTTAAGGGCACTCCATGTTTCTATTGTGTTCACTGTGTTTAACGTATCTGAGACTAATTTCCCAGCTTTCTACAGAAGCAGCTTTCTAAGGGATTTGTATGTTAAATACTCCCTTTCTTGTTTTAAATTTTCTAATCACATTTCTCTTTTCTTTCAGTCTCCTTTTGAAGATGTACCTAAAGATAAAATTCCTTCTATAAAACGACAAAGGTAGGTCGTTCCAATTGTTTTTTTTTTTTAACTCATGTTAAAGGTAGTAAAACTGTTTTCTTGTAACTAAGTATACCATATTTTATAATGTATCCTGTTGTAAAGATATTGTTGAAATCAAACAGAAGACGTCCCATTATATTGAAAAGCCATACATATATATATCAATTTTCAAAGCAGACAATTACAAATATGCTTATGCTTTTCTACTCAGGCTATCAAAGATGGAAAAAAATGTTGATTTGGAAACTATTCTGGAAAGAGAGAATGCAATAAAAGAATTAGAGGTTAGTATTAACTTTATGAATGAGGTAAATCCTAATTATTTGATGTCATTGATTATAAAATAAGTTTGTTTTCCCCTTAAACAGTCACAGTGATACCTGCCCTTTAGTTTGACTCAAAGGGGTACCCGTGATTTCTATTTTGTTCGCTAAAACAATTGGTCTAGGTTTCAGTTGACCTGATACGGATTTGACAATTCGTCCCTTTTGGTCTTACATGTCCTCAAGTATTGAGGTATTAGTGCATTTCCGGCTTTCAAATTTTTGTGTTTGAGCGTTCCTGATGAAGGTCAATCTAGTCAGACACACTATCCAAATGCTGCCACCACAGCATTGCTTTACCCGAGTCGATCTTTCGATGAGAACTCTTAGAAATAGTTAAAAGATGAACCATAAAAAAACATATACCATTGAGAAAGTTAAGATAATTGAAGTTCCCAATTTTCGAAAAAAAAACAAATGAATGATTCTAAAGTTGCTACTCAGTATTGTACAAATACATTTATCACCTTACTAATTCCAGCATGACATCACAGAAATAAATGAGATCTTCAAAGAGCTTGGTGCGCTGGTCCATGAACAAGGGGAAGTTATAAGTAAGTTTAAGACTTGCATTTAATATAAACACGTCTGATGTAAATGGAAGACTAATTTTTAAGCAACTGTTTATTCAATGCCTCTATTGTTTTCTTAAATGCTGTTAATTAACGGTTCAGTGTTTTGTCACAAAAATAACCGCAACCGAATGTTTACATTTAATATACCATTTTAAGATAAATTTTCTTTTTAAGTATATTTTGGGATGATTTTGTTTAATATGTTAATTTTTAGATATTTAAATTATTTCACCTACAGATACGATCGATGACAATGTAGACACAGCAGTTATACATATACATGAAGCTAAACAAGACCTAGCACGAGCTGTGTCCATACAGGTATGTTTCAGCAAAGTAATTTTTTACGGGTGTGCTATGAATTCATTCAGTAATACAACTACTTAGTAATATGTTTTATAACCAATTCTAATTTAATTCACTTGGGTACAATTAACCAAATTGAAAATAACCATATATTTCAAAAATCCTTCAAAGATTTTAAAAAAAAATGTAAGATTGATCTCCCCTAGTACACGTTTTGTGTTTAAGTTATTTTGTAGTTTTGAAATGCTCTGTATATGATTGACAATTCAACGAAACTGGTCATAGATATCAGTCAGCAAGATTATTTTATCACTAGTAACATCACTCAGCCGTTAACATAAGCATTACAGTCCTTATGTAATTTCCGTCACATGAAAATATAATATCATATCCTTGTTTCCCCTAAAAAAATAAGATTTCAAACCCTTTTTAACCAAAATTGACTTTTGACGCTTTAAAATTTTCAAAATGAGCACTACAAGAATCATTAAGAAACTTGCTTTATAGATTTAAGGATACCAGATTAAGATGAATTACTTAATAACAAATAGTACCAAATATACCAAACATTTTTCATTCGTTGTATACATTTTCCTCCCAGTTTTCTTTGATTTCCCAAAATCTAAGGTTCATAGTAATAGATTTTCGAGCAATGCCTCACACAAAATAAAAATCACTAAGCTCATCTAGTCTAGTAAGTTTTCTTTCGGAATAAGTTTGTTTTTGTTTGTTTGTTTCGGAGTGTTTATTCTGTATGTCACGTTCTAAATCGATTTCCTTCCTAAGCATTATTTTCTGCTCATTTAATAAATTCCATTATCTATTCAGGAAAATGTGCGAAGTAAAAAATGTCTATGCCTGGTTGTCTTGATTGTTGGAGTAGGAATTATCATTGCCATACTATTACCAGTACTTCTTACTATAAACAAATGATACGGTACGTTTGTGACATTTTCCACTTACTATAAATAAATGATACGGTAGGTAGTATTTACACGTTTCAAGCCTAACATTGTATTAAAATGATTAACCAAAGAAGGTTATATTAAAGAAAGATTCCAAATTCAAATAACATAAATCAAAAGGAAAGAGACAAACACAAGACAGAGACGTATACGGTTGGCGGTTTTCTCAGGAAATACATTGATGCACTGCTTCATATTTAATACAAGCTATATATATAAGAAGACACATTTAAGAATGTAACCCAAATTGTCTGCAGAATTTTTTTGTATTCATTTTTGGTTATTAAACACCGAGTTATGCTGCCTGGAGTTTATGTTAACATACTTAATATTAGTTTGATATTAATATATACTTTTAAAATATTAACTTGAACTGACCAAACTATTTGTAACGATTACATACTGGTTTTTTTGTAGAGGGAAATTACAGAGTCATGTGGTATAGCAACACTTCTCCATTGGTTACTCTAAGCTGAAGAAAACCCTGTCAGACTATGTCCAAAATAAACACCAATACAGAAAGAACTGAATAGACATTATGATTAACTAAACATTTAACTTCATAAAACGTGTCTCTCATTCAAACCAATGCAATATACAGCTGGTTAAAACAATGATCAAGCTGTTCTTTTGTTTCAAATATAATCAATTACATCATATATAGCATTTTTATGAGTATTTGTTTTAGAATTAATGTAAAAACATCAAAATATCAAAATTGATCATCTAATTCAAGAACATCTGTGTATGTAATTGTTCTGTTATAAAGATAATGGTCTCTCATTAAAAAGTTGAAAACGGAATGAACGGAACAGAATATGTGTTCCAAACATATATACACATGATTAAATGCAAGTAAATAAATAAACATCAACAAGAATCTAACACAATTAAATAAAGCAACATAACAAATGCAAAATTCCTAGTGACAGTTAATAATAACTTCACAGTTTGGTAACATGCTCTATATGGTAGTATCCAGAATCGTCTGACTTCATAGAACATAACTGTAAACATGTTATCTGCTGGTTCCCAAACAGCTGGTTCCTGTAATTGCTGTATGTAATTGGATCTATTTCTCTGATGTCAATTGTATCTACAAAGACAAAACATGTAGGTATTGAAATTACCCCTGATCTCCTTAAATAAATTAGATGTAGCCTGTATCCATATCATTCAAAGAATAACACTCAATCATTGCTCTCGAAGATGGGTTTGGAAAGAGGAATGGTGCAAACAATAGCTCAGTGTTGAATGCCTCACTGCGCATTTGAGACGGTGAACACTGTACATTACAGTGATAAATGCTTTGCTTGTTTAACTTTATTTGTTTTTGGCGGGGGTTTACACTAAGGTTCACTTAAGTATGCGTAGGGAATTTATGCCATATAGTTCAGGTAATTTATTTTTATTTTTCATAAAGAGCTTCTGTAAGAAGTCCGTCTTATATAAATAAAGGAACAAGGCGGAAAATAGTTGATCAATTGGTTCCTATAGAAATATCGCTTTTAAAACACATCTCCAAACGTAAGAAGTATGTTATCTATAAATTTTCATACATATTGATGATGTCAGTCTCGTAGAAATTTTATTGTTTTTTTTATGATTATCTCTTCCTTAAACTAGATATTCGTATCTAAGCAGGTCGTTCTTTTCAATGAAACGAAGTACAACTGACCTTCTGTCTATCTATAAGGTAAGAATAGGGAATACAAGTGTAAAGGTCAGAGAAGTCTAATGTTTTTATATTATTGCAAGAGGAGTCTTAAATTGTATATACTCTAACAGATCGTTTGATTTTTTTAGTATCCACAACTTATTTACACATCCCCTAGAGTAGACATGTTCACAGTAACTTTGATCATTGATACAATTGATATCAAAGAACATATATTACTATGTAAAGCACTTGACAGCCACAGCAATATAACGTCTGTAATTTTTTTATCCAGTAAAGTGAAGGAAGATATAGTTTTTCATCTACGTTTAAATATCCAAAGCGACATATAACAGACCTACGATTTTCAGGATTTCCTCTTTTGTAAGTGTTGTTGGAGATTATGTTCTCATTTGTAAGTGTTGTTGGAGTTAATGTTAAGTTTCTAAGTGAATTGTCAGTACCTATTTCCATTATCAAGCAGTTTATGAAATGTGATTTGCACACATAGACGATGTTGTTCAGGGCTTTATCTGCGAGGACAATACCATATTTATAATGACGGTAGGACGAGTGCTTGGCAACAGTTCGTTCTTTGAAGACAGGTGTAACTTGTATCAACGACTGCACATCCTTAGCCCATGCGGAAAGAATGCCCTTGTCTTTATTTACGCGTAATAGTCCTTCCCCGCACATAATAATCGGCTGTATTCACTAGAAAATATACCTTTGTTTGCAAAGCGAGTTTTAGAAAATATTGTTGCCACGTTACATCTTTTGCAATGGCAACTGTACCGAAAAGAGTGTGACGGGCTATATCCGTGATGATTAGCTGAATGTTTGTATTGGTTTGAATTCAAATTTGTAAATATGGTTTCAAAACATAACTTGTTCAGAGAAAGAAGTTTTAAAAAAGTGTTGTTTCCATTCGAAAGTGTTAGCGTTGTAGTTCAGTGTTTCTGTAGTTTTTTTTTCTTTCTTTAAGTTGATGAGTTTCCTCGGTATTAGTTTGCTACCCGGATTTGTTTTTGCTTAATTGAATTATGACTATTGAACAGCGGTACACTACTGTTGCCTTTATCTAGTTAATACAGCTGCGTGCGGATGTGATGAATACCCAACGGCTTCTGTATAAACAGTTGACGGTCTCTGATGAAATCAATGTGGCTGTAACTACACCATGCCAAAAATACTCATTCGATTTACTGTTCCTAGATGCCTGATCCACTCGTCTTCCTTTTGTCAACAGAGAGGTCAGTGTCGCAGGATGAGGAGTATTAGTCCTGCGGTTTAAAGTTTCCACGAGTCGATTCGATGACCAATCTGATAAAAATGTCGATAAGCAATGTCATTTGCATTGTTGTTTATGTCTGATCTGTGTCTGCATTTGCCTTTGTTAAGCCTTCCCTTTGTTTCACCGACATATACCAATCAGCTAAAGTTATATAGTAATCCGTAAACAAGATTTGCTGATTTACTATTCAGATCACCGTTACAGATCTTACAAATCTTTTGAATATTTTAGTATCAACATCTGATTCGTAACGCTCCCAGACCAGATAGTTTAACAATAAATCTGAAGTCCGATTTTGATTGCTGATTAAATTGACTGAAATGAATTATTTGGAAAAAGATTTTATGAAGCATTTGGTAGACCTAGCAATTAAAGAACATACAACATTTTTATGATTGTTCAGTGTTTCTTCTTTAGTAAATGTTGTGGAAATTAAAGAGTCTTAAGTGAATTGTAAGCACTTAATTCCTTTATCAAGCAGTTTTATACACAAAAACTGTTTCGCCTGATGATTTGTCCGTGGAGACAACACTATCTTTGTCATTGAGGTAGGGCAAGTGCTTAGCATCATGTGACCTTTACGATAAATGTAAAACGACTTTTCATAGACCCATAAAGTTGTTTTTTTATCTTGATTTGTATTAAACAACCTCACAACATTAACCAAGTCGATCGAAACACGAATAATATATGCACTGATATCATATAACTAATTTCAATTTAATAACTGCATAACTGTTTTTGAAGTCAACTCGAAAGTATGCAGACATGTTCATTCTGCTTCTTCCATACACAACATTAATTAAAAGCTTAATACGAGAAAATGACATTCCACTGATGGATTTTAGCGTAAAGTTGAGGAAAAATATGACCTAATTCTATGCATTATGATAATTGTATTCATACTTTGAAAATGATTATGTTGTTTTTTAAGCCTTGGGATATACATTTTCAAAATAATAACTCCTATAAAAGTTGTCTATTTTCCCGGAATTGAATAACTATTATTAATAAGCAACTTCGCACTAAAATATACGTAATGAGGTATTTGTATGATATTGTCTTTTCAATCTGCCGTGAACCCTGAAATTTGTACCAAACGCTCAGTTTTTCCAATCAATGTATAACAATTCAGGGAGAGACTCATTTATTGAATTGTGTACAAAATGTTTTTTGAATAAATACAACAGTGTTAATTGATTAGATTTACAAATGTGGGTTTTTGCGGTGTTGAGACAATATCATTTATAAATAGAACCTACAAATATAAATGATTTATTGAAAATATTCTATTATTTCATTGTATGTGGGAATATCTCTAGTTAATTTTTTCTAATAGTTCAAAATAGGTCCGTACTATTTAAATTTTTTTATCGCAGACTTAGCTTACACCGATCCATTCTAGTTAGTTTTACTTATATGCTAATTACCTTGCGGATGTTGTTGTTCATATCTCCAAACAACCCATATATAGTGCAATAAATATGCTGCTGATCCCAAACAGAGTTCATTCACTGATGATGATTCCAAAAACGTCTACAATTATCAAACAAGAAAAAAGTCAAACAAAGAAGAACTTAGTAATTGGTTAATTGTTTTGGAATTTTCAGGTTTTAATGTTCTTCAACTTCCAATTTGATTTAGCCTTCCAACTGTTTGGATTCGCGCCCATTGATAAGTCTTATGTAGATGAAACACGCGTCTGGCGTACCAAATAATAAGTCAGGTATCTTTGATTAGTTTTACTCACCAACACATCTAATCAACATATAAACTATGATTCAAGAGAATGAAAAAGCAGCATGTACAAAATATTTCTCTTCCTTTGATTTGTTCATACCTCTTCTATACATTTAGAACTATTCAACCAAGGGTTCAGGTAACAAAGTAGAATAAGTCCATTCGAAAGGCTTACGGGCACCATCACACAGTGATTGACCGCAATGGAAAATATGTTTTACAGATAACCACGGGTACGTTCCAACTGTCGTAACCATATACCGTCCGTCTTTCCTTATTTGTACCATCAACGAATGAAACTTATCACCGAATTTACTTATTAAAAGTAATGTTAACACGACGGGTACTAATAGTGGGCTAGAATCTGCTTACTATGCCTGAGCACCCTAGATCACCCAGATTTCGACGGATTTGGTGTTGCTAATTCTTAAGTTTTCTATGCAGTTTTTTGTGCACTTTTTTGTCTTCCCGACGTCTTTCGTAATTTACCATGGCGTTGTCAGTATTTTTCGGCTTAAGGGTTTTGAATGTCCAAAATGATAAATTTCATATTTTTTGTTTAGATATTATCTCAAATATTATTCCTTTCGGAATCCATGCATAGAAAATAGTGGTTATTGAATATGAAAATAATCCTTTTTTAAGAAGGTATGATAAGACAGCATTTGTTTTCCTCTGAAATCAAAAATAAAAATTTCATAAATTTACAAAACCAATTTTTTCAATTGTTCATAAGACATTGTTTTGTTAGAAATCAGTATCTATATTTTGGAATTTTGTTTTGCATATATTTGCCTAATAGCTTTTGTAATGCATTTTCCAGGTTTTACCGTCAGCAGTAAAGCTCAAACCTAAACATTTGAAGTCAAGACCATATAAATACACCAATACTTGAGGAACTTTATGACCATACAAACATATATATATATTTGCTACAAAATTGGTACCTTTAAGGGTTATTGAGCTGCGGTCCGTACAATAATCTTTTTTACGTGTGGTTCTGCCGATGTAATAAATGTCACGGCTGATGTTGTGACAGTTTCATTTAAAGAATTACTTTAAAAATCATCCAGGTGACGAAGAATAATCATGACATCTGAAGATAATTTGAAAATAGAAAAACTGGATGAAAATATGATTGAAATATCTATCGACATAATAACAATAAATTTAGTTTAATATATTACATTTATCTTTGGCCACCATTCATTTCGTTGTGCTTTTTTTGGTTGCTGACATTCTGCTACATGAGCCTTTATGTTTTCACTGCTTTTAAATCTCTGACCACAGGTTAAACACTGTAGTCCAGTAAAGAGCCTCTGTATGTTAAAATCATTACGTCTGTAATATTTAAAAAAACAAACGAATACAAAATAGACCAATATAAGTGCTAGCATATAATATATAACACATGGATAGCATACAACTGTAATCAGGTAGCTTAAATAGCCTATCGAACTATTTTACATAATAAAACATTAACAAGAAAACAAGTCTATTGAACAGTACAACAGACCAAACAAAGAATCAACAGCCGACTCTTATGAAAAATAAGGTATTGTTATTACATAGGTGGTTTAAGTAAAGCTAATATAAATGTAATAGTCAATGAGTTTGAACATCCCTGGTGTATCTTCCGCCTCTCTTTAACACTCACGATATCAAATGACATTGACAAAAAGACTGACTGATAATCAAAAGCTTTATATGGATTTAAAAGAATCCACACAAACACACACACGTTCACATACATACAAATGTTTTAATTTCTACGTATAAACTGTTTTCAGTCGCAATGTTGGCTGTTAAGATTCACGATAAATGACACTAAAACTTACTTTTTTCAATATTCTTTAAAATACTTACCGATTCAAATTCTCGGGGCTAAAATCTGGAACGATATCATACATGGTACACAAGGAAGCACCCTAAAGCAAACACTAAAAAGGTTTAAATATAATGAATTCGATTTTTTTTCAACTTTATTTCATACTCATCTTGCCAATCTGTCTTGGATTTATCAGTTTTGATTTTCCCTTTGATTACTTTTTTGTGAAAAGGAGACATTCGGCGAACTAACAGACGACTAAACTTTTATCTAAAAACTAAGATCGGGAAACTGGCCGCTAATGAATTGAGACAGCGACATATTGTATCGGTCAATAAACAATTAGTGATGGTGACCGTAAAAACCATGTGGTATCGATTTCAGTCGTTCTTCCTCATAACTATGTTGGAGTAGTTTGTTAATAAAGTACGAGTTAAACGCCTTACGATGGAGCAGAGGGTTACGTTACTGCTGAGAAATAAGAAGTTGAAATCATTACTTTCGTCATAGATTCAAATTCGAAGTCGTTTATCTGGGAGGAATATCGAGATATGAAGCAGAACTACTTTCGGTAGTGTCCTTAATTTGAAGTTCATTGGATTATATGAGATGTAAACACTTCTTTAAATTCGGGTTACTGAGTAACAGGACATCCTCAAAATGTCTGAAAGTGAAATTAAAGAAATTTGCAAGATGCTTTTTTTTTGTCTTTTAGAAGGTTTTGTATTGATTTTGCTTCATATGAGTACAAAAACAAGTCTGCCAGTAGATGTGTACAATTAGTATCCATGGGCGTACATAGTTATACCCTGGTATCTTTGATAACTTTACTTTGGAATACTGACTGTCTGCTGAAGTATCAATACACTAAACTCAATACATATTTTTCAATCAAAAAGTTCAGAATTTTTATTATATCATCATGTATTTGTTGTTGTAATTAGTGTGTAAAATGGATCATGTCCCAACATTACTAAATAATCTCAACTAATACATAGAATTGAATGAAAAGAAAATCCGTTTATAAATTGTTTAATATCCTGAAACCTATAATAAATAGATAAATTTGGACAGCAGCAAACATTTTCACATTGACAGGAAAAGGTTAGATTCCAATGAGACAGCCTGCAATAATACCATTTAACGAACAAAACACATAAGCATCGTCAACTTAAGTCTAGTTATTTCCTCGCAATGTTATCTGCTCAGTGTTGTTGTCTTGATACATGACAAAACACTTCGTATCATCAAACTCGTGCAGGTATACATTTTCTGCATTGTTTTAAAATTATCAGAATTTTCCGATGATTGGATGAATAGAATCATAAAATATCAAATGATGGCGAAAGGGTTTCTGGTACATTGTTTGTGTTATCTCTTTATCTTTTAGAACAGTTGCAAAGGAAACTTTTCTAAATCCAATCTCACTTTATATAATGTCATTTTGGTATTACATTTCATTACTACGTAATGGTTGAGGTATGAAGTGTTATCGCAATGGGAACTTTTACATTATTCTCCTACTTGAGATCATTAAGTATTTTTGGAATGTAAATTGTTTACATTCCATTCTTACTTAAAGGGGCATTAGCTACAAGATATATGATTTTTTTGTTCAATCATTAATGAAAGTGAAACAGTGAAATAATAATTCGCTTTCAGCAGCCAGTTTGGTTCAATTTTGTCAAAATAAGCCAAGAAGCATCGCTGATGAATTATTCACTTGCAAGTGAATAATTCGACCTCATAGAATCCGTATTCGTGTGACCTTCAATTTAACCCCTCAGCTAGAGATGGGTTACGCATGAATTAGGCGTGTTCAGTTATTAAAAGAAAAAGAATGTCAACATTGAAAGTAAAACAAGGGTAAACCATTTGATTGACTAATTCGATCCACAAAAAGTCATTCTTATACAGGTATAAACGATGACTAACATATATTTTAACCTATAATATGAAATCAAACAGACCTAGAAAAATCCAATTGCACGAGTTCGCTATTTATTTATATCTATATTTATGTTTATATCGGGTTATATGACCGTCGGCAGTCTTCGGAGGTCACCTTATATTCCATACCGATGTTGAAACTGAGGTAATTGAGTACTAATGTGGTATACACCAAAGCAATAGCAATGAAAATCTTCTAAAAAATAGATAATTTTAGCAAAATCCATGCTTTTTTAAAAATTTTCATTAAAAGTAAAAAAAAAAATATGTATGTCTACCTTAACAACTTAACAAATAGCCATTGTGATGTATTAATCATCCTATTTACGGTGACGCTAGTTTAATCAATTGATTAATTAATCCCACTTGGACTGAAAATAAAGTATGTTTATTTACCTCTATTCCTAAAGTCAAATCAATAAAATGCCAATAAAACAATACGCTTTGTAAAAAACATTAATTACCTCTTTAGAATCATCATTGGTACAACCCATGTCATATGCACAAAGTTTTCGAGACGGTTCAGGTGAACTGGATTCTCTGCACATTTCAGATTCACTAGCTCCTTGCAGACATATCTCGTGTTCACTTGATCCTTGGCAAATGTCCGATTTCATCGACTCGCTGTACATATCAGAAGAATTGGGAACTGGATATTGACCATACGAACAGGATCCTTGTAACATTTCAGATGCATCGAACCCTCGAACAATATTAGATTTACTGCGCTCACGGAATGTTTCAGATGTAATTGATCCTTGTGGTATTTCAGCTGTATTTGATTTTGTAGATATCTCCAATATACTTGACCCTCGACACAATTCAGATTTTATAGATTCTCGACACATCTTAAGTAAAAGTTCGTCAGTTCCGGCAAAACTTTCCTCATTTTCGTCTTGAAAAAAAAATGAGTCCATCAAAATATAAATGTTATGTAAATGTAAATGACTTCTATTTTTCTTTTAAATATGAATTTCATTGTATTTACGACCAGATTTCGTTTTATGGATGAATAGTAAAGGTTTGTCCCCTCAAAACGATCATGTCTCGGAATTCAAGTGAGGTACTACATTCGAAACAAATCCCACAATGTTTACATAGAACTAGTATAGGTAATACAGTTGATGCATGCAGTGTAGAGTTTTGTTTTGTTTTTAATGACAACCTGCAGTCATAACTATGTCCCTTCATTAACACAAAATAACCTTAACTAAGCTCCTTGGATCTCCTTGAATTGCTACATTTATGGACCCTATCGCCTTTTTTTAGCCGAAAATTTACCACACTTGAACTATTGACTTCATACAAAAATTACTTTTCTTTTCTAAAGTCAGACATTTACTCGTGTGACATCAAAATTGTACGAAATGTGTGTGATTTCCAGTATTAATGGCAGACAGCTGGCGTTAAGGTGAATTGGAGTCTCGGGATGATACTAGGGACTATTTTAGAGCAGACATAGACATGTTATAATCAATAATCACAAACTTATCAAGTGTTTCAAAAACAGGAAAAGTTTTAATTAGTCACTGGCATTATTCAATGAAATTCTTCGTTTACTGAAGTCAACCCTTCATTTACATATAACAACCCTTAACTTACACATTATAACCCTTTATCAAACAATGTAATTTTTACACAATATCAAGTTTGTATATTTAGTACCTTCAATAATGTCAAGCCAGTCTACCAGTTGAGATATCTTAGCAATGGTAAGATGAGGATTAAACCGTCCTTCCTTTTTAAATGAAGCACCATTTGCTTTACAGCAATCTTCAAATATCTCTAATATAATATGAAAAAAGGAAACAATGACAAAGTCTAGCAAAATATACAAAAGAAAGTAAAAGAAAATAAAAGATATTAAATTGCATCAAACATTTTGATCGAATAACTTATTGTGCAGGTTAAGGGAAGAGTCTGAGATTTATACATATGATAAAATGTTATAATAATTACTAGTACTTATTGGTGCCATTTACATTTCGTACATGCATATAGATTTTTTCTATAAAGAAATCATTTATTACAGCTGCTTTATATTTTCTTGTCTGTAGTTCTGACAAAAGAACATACTTGAAAGTAGAAGATTTTCATATTCATAGAAATACTCACCACCTAATCTTTGTAAACGAAAATAATTTTTATCTCGTTGAATTTTTGCAAATACCACTCCATTACGAAAGTTACCAATACCTCTGAAAGTTAAACGGAAAAGATCCATGTTTTCTTTTTTAAACTGTTCAACACACTGATCCAAGGATTTCTTCATTCTACAATTAATTGAAAAAATACAAATAAAAACACAGTTCAGGTCTTTATGACCACCCTCGAAGGTTAGTTTTTATCTAAAAAGCCCTGATAGTGTACTGAACTCGAATAATCCGCGAACAATTTGCAATTTTACATGCATTAAGTTGACAAAATAAACGACATAAAGCGGAATCATAATGTATGGGATATCAAAGCGATTTTTAAACTTTTAGATACATATAAACCTTAAAAGCTAAATGACCCAAAGAGACCTTAGAGGAATAGCAATTTTTTTTAAATCAAAAGAATATTCAAATTCATAAGTAAAAAAATTAAACTGATAACGCCATATTGTAAAAAAGAAAAAACGATCTAGAGACAATCAACAGTCTACAAAACCAAACATAGAAGACTCTAGACTGAACAACATGAACCCCACAAAAATCGGGATGATATCTGGTGCTCCGAAAGTGTGAACAGATCCTGCTCCACATGTGGCATAAGTCATTCTGCTCATGTAAGTAAAAATTCCGTGATGTCACATTTGAGCATAAGTGGACGGGATTGTGGCTACAACAATTAGAACATAATCGTCGTCATATGTTAATAAAATATTCCATAACGGTCACCAACTCGTAATAGCGTCTGTAAAATTTACCAATGGATGCCAGATTAAAGTCCAGAGATGTGTAAATACGTGGAAATGTTGGGAGCTTAATGACCAAAAGATACCTTAAAAGAATAGCCAAACTCAGCTGAAGTTGATTTTACCTCAGTGAGTTGGAATCTTGGTTGTTTTTACTAATTTCTTATCAACGGGGAAAATATGTAATAAACCATGTCAGTTCCAAAGCACTGACTATCGAGCTGATGATACCCTGAAGGACTAACAGTTCACCAGCAGTGGTATCGACCCAGTGCCACAGTAAATGAAAAAAAAACTTTATAAGTTTCGTGCGTCCGAAGAGTTTTTCTGGATTTATCTTACTCTGGAATGCTCAAACCAAAACATTTAAAAGCCAGAGTTGTTTCGATTCGTAGAACGTAATGAGCTAAATGTCGAAAATATACCTTAAAAGAAAAGCCAAACTCAGCTTAGGTCAAATTTGCTTGAGCCAAACTCAGCTTAGGTCAACTTTGCCTGAGGGTGTTGGAACCGTAGGATTCTTAGTTATTAATTTAACAACAGGGAATTTTGGAAAAATATATATCATAAATTATGTCCGTACCGCAGCACTGATCGCAGAGATCATGGTACCGTCGGGGATTATCACTCCACAAGTAATGGTATCAACCCATCGCTAGTAAATACAAATATCACTTTATAAAGGTCTTGTGTTTCTAAGTTTACCTTTATCAGGAACACTCAAATCCAAACAAAAGTAAAGAGTTGTATAAAAGGAACGTATTTCATATAAACAAATAAACGCATCAAGGGAAATATGGCTCGTATTCACTTAAAATTAGAATATCATTTTTACAATTTAACTAAATCCTGTGTTTCACTTTTAAAGAGTACCAAGTCAAGAATATGACAATTGCTTTCCATTCGTTTGATGTGTTTGAGCGTTTTGCCATTTGAAAAAAAGAGAGGCGAAGAATACCAAAGGGACATTCAATCTCATAAGTCGAAAATAAACTGACAATGCCATGGCCAGAAAAGAAAAAGACAAACAGACAAACAACAGTACACAAAACACAACATAGAAAACCAAAGACTGAGCACCACGAACCCCATCAAAAACTGGGCGTGATCTCGGATGCTCCGGAAGGGTAATCAGATCCCGCTCCACGTGTGGCACCCGTCGTGTTGCTCATTTAAGTACAAACCCGGTGATATGTCTAATTCGGTAGGTCACATTCGGGGGAAAGGGGACGAGATTGAAGTTACGGGGACTTTCCCTTGTGAATTTTCCTTGGAGTTTCGGTATTTTTGTCATTTTACTTTAAATGAATTGTCGTCTCTTTTAAAACATTTCACAAAGAAGAATTGATGTAAATTTCGAATTATTTTATGGCATACAATACTATTCACATAAAAAAAATTGTACGTACAAATAAACCCATATATATGAATAAACAATAACCTGGTTAAATCGTCTTCTGTTTCCAAATGGGCAACTCTTAGTGTAATGTGAGCACAGGAAAGTCGGACTTGAGTCAGTTCCAAAAGTTCATTTTTCTTCTTCATATCTTTTTGGACTTCAGCTATCTTTGTTATAATCTATTAAATTTTAATATTTAAATCAATTCTAATTAATCAAAATTTGAAACTGCCTTCTAAATAAATACATAACATTGTCATGGAAAATCATTTTGTGCGGCGTATTTTTTTTTTCAAAAAAAAGTTGTCTTATTTTTATGCGAAAACAAATATTATACATATACAGAAATAACCTTTAGTTGTGTGTTGATGTGTTGATATTAGACTACAGTTTTGTTCATTCTCAATTCTGGATAATCAGGTTATGGGGTATATTCCAAGGTACTTTGAATAATATTCAATGTATAGTAAAACAAACTTCAATTTATTTACAACAAAATTTACACAAAGATACTCTTACAAACCAATTCATACAAGAAAATACAAGCAAAGCCGCTTGCACTCAGACGGGCAACCCGTCAAAAATTAGTTATGATTATACTTTAAATGGTCGACAAAATAAAAAAAAAAGCAAAGTTATAGCTAGAATCAAATAATAAATGAGCTCAAAGTATTATACGACATAGAAATACTTAAAAGTACTTAAAATGTCTCGCTTTTTGATTCCGTCAAGGCCAGACAACTAATAGCCCATTTCATGGTTTCGATGTGAATTCCTGAAAAGTCATAACCGGCATTTAAGAGAGCAATACTGTTTTGAGTATTAATTGGGCCATTTTATTCATTTGTGGACCATTTACTTAGACAATCTTCCACCCTATACATTTCAGAATCACATAAATAAGTTGAAAGTTTAATTAATACCCTTCTAATATATTAATACATTTAAGCATTTTTACATAATTTTTATCTTGGTACAATATCCCTTTTAAAAGATGGTAGATCTATTAAGGGACTTCATTCGTGTGTACTGTAACTGGGACCTAATTGCAGCAGTTCAGTGGGAAAATGATGCTTGTAGTGGAATTTGAATTTTTGTTCCATGTGGGGTAGTCTAGAAAAGCAATCAAATATTTATTTAGCTAGCTATCAATATTAACATGCAAAGTGGAATAATACAAATATCAACTAATAAATGAGGTGAAATGAGAAAGTATCAAAAGTATATATAAACACTGTAAGGAATATAGTAATTGCAATCGAAATATATATTATCAAGGAAATTAATCAAAAGCCTGAAATTAGTGGGTGAAAGGGGGAACAACCCTACCTTATTACCTACTATATTGAATAGGTCTAAACACCCTACCTCCGGATTAGTAATTTGTAGTGAAATAAAATGCGTAGGCTTTTTCCGTCTGCTTCTGTCAACTTGTCTTGTTTCATTCTGTTCTAGTTTCTCATTATCTGAAGCATTAAAAACTAAGCATAATAAAAGAACAGAGTTCCAGTGTCCCCCGCGTTGCACATATTTTATCTATCTTAGGTACAAGGGCAATAACTTAAAAAAAAGAAATGAAGGCTTTAGGGCAAATGCAATGTGATTTCCATTATAATTAATATTTCCAAGGGGCATAACTCGTTAAAAATATTTGATCAGAACTTATTTTCGAAAGTTTTAAAGACATTGCTGATATAAACCTATGATATAAGTTTCATAAAGTTCTGGAAAGAATTGAACATGAGCGCTAACAATGTAATTTTCCATATAATCAATATCTCCAAGGGGCATAACTCTTTTAAAAATAATTGATTGGCACTGATTTTCGAACGCATCACAGACATTGATGATATAAACCTATAATATAAATTTCATAAAAATCTGGCAAGACTTGTACATATATATATTAGAGAACTCTTCCAAGACATTGCTGATATATACAAACCTATGATATAAGTTTAATAAAAATCTGGCAAAAATTGAACAAATGAGAGCGCTAACGATGCAATTGTCCATATAATTAATGTTTCCAAGGGCATAACTCTTTTGAAAATAATTGATTGGCACTGATTTTCGAATTCGTCCAAGACATTGCTGATATAAACCTATGATATAAGTTTCATAAAAATCTGGCAAGAATTGTACACGTGAGAGCGCTAACGATGCAATTTTCCATATAATTCATGTTTCCAAGGGCATAACTCTTTTAAAAATAATTGTTCGGCACTGATTTTCGAACTCGTCCAAGACATTGCTGATATAAAGCTATGATATCAGTTTCATAAAAATCTGGCAAGAATTGTACACGTGAGAGCGCGGAGGACAATAAATTATTATTGCTGTCGTGACAGCTATGCACATTTACATTCTGTCGATACCGCTATATCGACAATGCACGTGGTCCTGCATGTTTTCTCTAAATCTTTATACATCTTTACACTAAATCCATTAAATAGGTACGGATTGATATTTTAGTCTCATATACATGATATTTTTATTAGTTGATACTGGATTTGAAATAGCTTTCAGTAACTGTAAATGTTTTGGGTCGATCTTATGAATCAAGCCTATTTCAACTGATTTGTGTAGTTTGTTCTTATGATATGATGTTACACCACTGTGTCAGGGGAATTGTTGGGCGCCCGCAAACATGTTTAATTCCGCAACATTGTTTCTGTCAGGAGGCTGTTATTCAGTGGTTGTCGTTTGTTACTGTATATCATATTTGTTTTGTACATAAATTAGGCTGTTAGTTTTATCTATGAAATTGTTTTACATTTGTAATGTCGGAACCTTTACAGCTTGTTATGTGGAATGGGGTTTGCTCTTTGTTGAAGGCCGTACTGTGACCTATAGTTGCTTACTTCTATGTCACTTTGTCTCTGGTGGAAAGTTATCTCAATGGCATTCATACAATATCTTCTTATTTTTAAACAGTATCTTTTTTATACTGCAACAAGCCTCCTGTTATCTTTATTTACCAAATATAGTAGCTATTAAGGTAGATAGGGTGTCTTCCTCCATCTTGGATTTTGAAATACCAGAAAACAATCGGTCTAGATCTATAATAAAAGGTGCAAATTTTGAGAGTAGTAGGTAATTCATGTGTAAGAATTTTCATTTCAATATAGAAAATGACATATTTTATCATATTTATGGTTGTATTTTACAAAAAAACAGAATACTTTTGTTTGATTCTATATTTTCCAACTTTGCCACATAAGGGGAGGCAACTCAAATGTAAGGGCAGATAATTCACATAAAGTTACTTTTACAATAGAATGTGTTAGGAATTTACCTATTTTATTATGTAGCAAGAAAACGGGTCCGGTGACCCCATTTTTTCTTTTTCTTATCTGAAAGCATATTATTAGAGCTATCTTCTCATATTTTATCTCAAAATTCTATGGTGTAGTTTTCATTTTATGGCAGAAAATTGGGTTTTCCATGCATAATCTATACAAAATCTGTCAATTTTGCACAACCTGTAGCATGAAAATAAGGCCCGTGACCCATTCTTTTCATTATTTTTTTTTAAAAAGCATGATATAAACTAGATTTTGGCAAATTATTAAAAAATTCTATGGATTATAATTTAGACACCCCATCTACCTTAAGTGATATTTCGCGCAATTTTGATTTCACGTCGCGTAACTTTTATCACAACCTGGGGCTCTTTTAGAGAAGTCAGAAAGATATATATTTTTTTTCTCACATTTTGATAGCTATAATTGTAGCCATTTTAGTTGTAGTATAAAAACATCAAGACAAATGTGAGAAAAATACCCAATTTTGTTGAATTGGTAGGTAAAACTCGCCCTTCCCCAGTTTTAAAGCCTTCCATACAAAAAGTTAATATTTTTCTGACATTGACCTAATATTGTATATGCACATAAGTTTCCTGAGAATCTATACCTTTGATAGCCTGACAACAATCGCGAGACGTTCCAAATAAGTATATTTTTTCTCAATTAAATGCAACATTCATAACTGCACGTGTTTCCCATGACAACGCCACGACAATACATATATATATTTCATGGTTTAAGTATATAAATGTAATTATAAGAATTGCATGCTTTGTTTTTGTAATTTATAAGGTTGTGAAAGCGTTGATCATGCGCAGATTTTAAGTATGAAGTATATGTACTTTTCCATTCATTTAAATTCAGATTGAAATAATTTGCCAAAAAATATTTAAATTATTAAAGAACACCTAATATCTGTGTCGCCCTGAATATGCATGACATATTTGCCACTGAACGTTAAGCAACCAACAATCAATCAATTATAATATTTGTGACAATGCGTAATGTAAATGTTCGACTTATACAACATGACAAATAATGTAAATAAAACATGATATACGTGAAAATTATCAAACACAGAGACATGTTTACAGATGCATTTATCTTGTTGTTTGTTTACAGGATATGATTATACATTGCATAACATGTAATATCAATCAGTACACGTGTACATCTACACAATCTTAAGAAATAAATCAAACTTCAAATAATAAAGGTATATATCCAGAGAAAATAGATCAGTGCGAGAATGAAACTTCTTTAAATTATCATGATTTGAATAGCTCAAGCTAACTAGTGTGTTAATATACAGAATAGCTCAAGCTAACTAGTGTATTAATATACAGAAAAGCTCAAGCTAACTAGTGTGTTAATGTACAGAAAAGCTCAAGCTAACTAGTGTGTTAATATACAGAATAGCTCAAGCTAACTAGTGTATTAATATACAGAAAAGACTGGCGGAAGGACCACTGGGAACGACCTTTTTTTTTGGATGTCGGAATTGGGTCTTTACGGGAATTCGGGATCGGGCCTTTGTTTTTGCGGGAATTCGGGATCGGGCCATTTATTTTGCGGTAAGTCGGGATTTTCACTTATGAGTACTCGGGTCAATTTTCGGGATCCGGAAAAGAATGCTTTATTTGGGTTTTTTGTCAGGAATTCGAGGTGAGACCCTCCTACCTCCTATATAATAATTATAAATAAGCACATATTTGATTTTTAAACTTCTTTAAAATAACTTTATGGAGGTTTAATTCTTACCTTCTTTCAGCTTTGCTTGGTTTGATATCTGACGAAATTTCTCCTTTTGCTGTAATTCCCGCTTTCTTATTAGGTCTTCAACAGCTGATACGGTTTTCTGGAAGTTTGACATTTGACGTTACTATTGTGTATTAAATGCAACCCACATCTATCATATGTATACAAACGGAATCAATGTGTAACAGGTTGTTTGGTTATCATTTAAGGTCAAAATGTGGCACACACAATATTTTGACGTCACCACAATACACATTCTTGAGAAAATCTTACGGCTTATGACGTTTATGATCTGCGTTTGCATTTGATTAGGTTACATAATCTCGTTGATCGAGTAAACTATGTGGTGCGTTAATTAATTGAAATGTCGAATATAAGTATCAATTGGGTGCATTTTCACGGAGTTAATATATCAATGGGTGGGAATTTACTTGTCAATGGGTCATAAATGTTAATCTTCTATAAAGATGTCTAATCATGTCTGTAAAACTGTGTTCTGATCTTTTTATCTCACGTGTTTTATCTAATAATATGAATGATCATCTGTCGTTAACGTATAAATAAGATGTTATAAAAGCTGGGAAATATATATTACGTCGCTGGGCTTCCAAAATGTTGTATATGATTTTGTTTGCTAAAACTACTTTTTCACCCAAAACCGGCTTGGTGGGTAACCCGAATAATGTCAGTCGTTATATTCCGCCGATCTCCGACTAATCTCCGATTACTACATTAACACCGAACTAAAATTTACAGGAAGTTGTAAGTGCGCGAAATCAGAGTGCCGAGTCCACTGCTTGGATCCGTATAACAGGGAACGACTGATGAGATTTTTGCACTGTATGCCTCGATAGGCTGTAGGCCGCTAGAGGGCGCAGAATTATTCGAGTTACTTGGTGGGAGGAAATCTCTGATATTCCAAAATATCATACAGTTATACCAATCAAAACATTTGAAATAAGACATGTGACAATTTAAAATTGCCTACCTCAATGGTTTGTAAAGTTTGCTCCCAAAATGTTGTATGTAAACTTGAAAATTGATGTATAGTGGTTTTTGGAATCTTAAACTTTAACATTTCTTTATTTCTGTGAAAATAAGGTTAGTTTTTGTGTTATCCAAAGATGTCAAAGTTTTTATTTCACAGCCAAGTACAAAAATGTTCACGTCGACATACGACATTTTGGAAGCATGCATTTCAACCAAAATTTCCAAAGCCTGTTTATGGATTTTGTTGTTGTTGAAAAATTACTAATTTACAACATTTTGGACGCCCAGCGACGATACATGGGTTTTAATTTTCCCATGAAATAAATAAATGGGTAGGGATTTTCGGGTAAATCAATATATAAAGATGGTGTTGTTTAAACCTTACACCCTGACATTCTTAGATACATATGTTTTTATGAAGTGTTATAGGCTTCCAACCAGCTTTCCAGATTGGTGTTCATCCGACCAATAGTAAAACTGTTGCCAAAGTGGGGCGTCTGTTTGGCTGTGCGGCACTGTTATGTGGTATGTATAAATACGCAGTCACGTCAAGCGAGAAAGGGACTGTTAGTGCTGATGCCTCGTGAAGAGAGAATGCCATGCTCTCTGCACGTTAAGATCCCTTGCAACAATTCTTCGACGGGTTGTAGGTAAATAAATAAATGAATAAATAAATAAATAAGTAATATTTATATCAAGAGGATAATCCCATTAGTAAAAACTAATCTTCCTAAGAGTCCTCAAAATAATAATAACATATTCATAAAGTACATACAATATTATAATGATCTATACACAATATACATATGTATATAGATATTAATGAAAAAGCATATTTATTTGCCCCCTTCATGAAAAAATTGTAACATTTTGTTTTAAAAGATATAAGTGTATAACTCATCTTTATTTCATTTGGTAAACTGTTGCATATTTGAGAACCAGAATATATAAAAGTTTTATTCAAATTTTTTGTTTGTTTTGGCTTTGGAAGTTTTAATGACAAATATGTTGTTGTCCCCGCAGATAAAGCCCCAAACAACATCGGTTTTTGTGTGTAAATATCATTACATAAACTGCTTGATAAATGAATTAGGTTTTGACAATTCACTTGGAAACTCAACATATACCCTCACGACACTTACCAAAGAGGAAATCCTGGATAATCATAGGTCTGTTCTATGATGAACCATTGTTCCAAAGATGAAGAACTGGATCTTCCATCCTGTATTGGATACCTACACTACATAAGTGTCCTTACAAACAACGGTATATTGCTGGGTCTTCCAAGTGCTCCACGAAACCTCTTTCTAAATTATTAACATCTATTTTATCAGCAATCAAAGCCGGGCTCCAAAGTTATTGTGAAACTGCCTATTCTAGAGGTGGCGTGAATCAGATGTGGATACTAAAAAATTCCAAAGGTCTTTTAGAGTTCATACAATATAAGACTCTCTCATCTTGCAATAGTATTAAAACATTTGGCTTTTCTACACTTTACACAAGTATTCCCCATTCCAAACTAAAAGACAAATTGAAAGAGTTGGTATTACTTTGTTTCATTAAAAAGAATGTCGAACGTAGATACAAGTATCTTGTCTTGGGGAGGGATAAATCCTACTTTGTAAAGAATCACTCTGATTCAAACAAAAAATTCTCTGAAACTGACATTATCAAGATGCTTGATTTCTTGATTGACAACATATTTGTTACGTTTGGAGGACGTGTTTTTCAACAGACTGTCGGAATTCCAATGGGAACCAATTGTGTCCCTCTTCTTGTCGACTTGTTTCTTTATTATTATGAGGCTGAATTCATACAGGAACTTCTTAGGAAGAAAGATAAGAAGTTAGCAATATCCTTTAACTTTACGTTCCGCTATATAGAGATAAAGGATACTACAGATACATTTAAGTCTGCCTCATATCTTGACTTACATCTAGAAATTGACAATGAGCGTCGGTTAAAACAAAACTTTACGACAAAAGAGATGATTTCAGCTTCCCAATTGTGAACTTTCCATTTCTATGTAGCAACATTCCAGCAGCGCCTGCATACGGAGTATATATCTCCCAATTGATACGATATTCCCGAGCTTGTATTTCCTATCATGATTTCCTTGATAGAGGATTGCTGCTCACAAGGAAGCTATAAAACCAAGAGTTCCAAATGGTGAAGTTGAAATCATCCCTTCGTAAATTTTACGGACGCCATCACGAGTTGGTTGACCGTTATGGAATAACCGTTTCACAGATGATATGGGATATGTTCCTTATATCGTAACTACAATACCCTTCCCTTTTCACGAATGTTACCTACCGAATTAGACTATTTACCGGATTTGTAATAACATAAGCAACACGACGGGTGCCACATGTGGAGCAGGATCTGCTTACCCTTCCGGAGCACCTGCGACCACCCCCAGTTTTTGGAGGGGTTCGTGTTGCTTAGTCTTTAGTTTTCTATGTTGTGTCATCTGTACTATTATTTGTCTGTTTGTCTTTTTTATTTTGGCCATGGCGTTGTCAGTTTGTTTTCGATCTATGAGATTGACTGTCCCTCTGGTATCTTTCGTCCCTTTTTAATAGTTTTTTATCAGCTGAAAGTTGGTGGTCTTCTGCAAGGCAAAATGAATTTCCCTATCAAATTAACCTTCTATTTCAAATGGCATTCCTTATTACCAGATCTCCATCCCGGACGACCCATACTACAGGATCTACCTATTGTATTTTTTGTAAATTTGTTTGAATCCTAAACCAGCATGAAATATTTGCAATTCTTATTATCCCCAAGGCAGGAAAGATCAAATTTTTAGAATAAATTATACATCTGCTCGCCTCCGGCACATTTTATGCAACATATTTCCTTTATATCATACAAACATAAGTTTTCTGTTGTCAATTGATTTACCCCTGTCAGAGGACGTTAGACAATTATTGATCAGCGAAAAAAGATTCTCAGACGACATATACCACGATGGTTTCTTTGACTCATATAATTTCTTAGATTCCAAAAAGGCATTGTATAACAATGGGAAGTTAGTGCCTGATTTTTCTAATCTTTAATAGTATTTTATCATTGCTTTAATCATGTTAAAATATATTGGCAGTCTTCCCAGCTGAGTTAACACAGCAAAGTTAGTACTTTTTTACAGAATTTAGTATGAAGTTTTTCAGCAGATAATTTAGAGTAAATATGGTCAAATGAAACAATCCCATTTCTAAATTTAGAAGAAATTGGGTTAAAGGCACCCCATATCTCACAACTGTATAAAAGGGTGGGTTTGATGATATGATCGAATACATGCATGCTTGTTTTGACTGAAGAATGCAAGGATAGAAAATCTTTAGACAACTTAAAATAGGTTGTTAGTGCCTTTTTATACAATTCATCCTGTGCTGCTGTAAAAGAGCCAGATGCACAAAAATGTATACCCAAATATTTATATGTATTAACACACTCTAGTTTTACACCATTTAACATACAATCATATTTGGTAATCAATTTACCTGCCTTGTTAAATATAAGAACCTTTGTTTTGTTTGTATTCACACTTAAGCACCAATCATTGCAGTAATTTTGCAATATATCCAATTTTCTTTTGCAAGCCGTTGGGAGATGTAGATAATAAAACAATAATATCATCAACATACATAAGTACATAAGACGGTGTGGATCTTGATTATTTATCAAAACTGGGTCCTCAGAGTTCTTTAAATAGATTGTTAAATTATTAATAAAGATCTTGAAGAGGTTTGAACTAAGATAGTCTCCTTGTTTGACCCCAAGGTGTGTTGAAAAGATGTTGGTTAAGTTTCATTTACTTTTACACACGATTTGCTTACTTCATACATGTTTTTAATGATGTTGTAAAATGAAGATTCCACCCCAATATCTAGTAGTTTCAATTTGATTCCAGTGTGAATAACAGTATCAAAGGATTTTTGAAGTCAACAAAGCAGGCATATAGTCTACCACTAGGATTATTACAATATTATCAATAATTGTCTTGATTACAAACATGTGGTCTGAGGTCCTAGCTTTCTTTGTGAAGCCAATTTGGCAGCAATCAATTATTTTGTGTTCGATTAGAAATTTGTTTAAAATAGAATTAAACAATTTCCCTATTGAAGTAGTTATAGTCAAACCACGATAGTTGTTTGGATCAAGAATAACATTAGCCTTTTGTAAGGGTGTAATATATCCTCCTCAAGATGGTTTACCCTA